TTACGCAGTGCACATGATCGCAGATCAAATAGAAATTTAGATAGTTCAACGGTGACATCCCCTCCTCCTAATTATTATTAATATATCATGTATTTTATCCTGTATTTTTATCGCATATTTATTAATAAAGATTTTCGATTAGAGGAACGTATAAGCCTTTAGGAATCATGTATCATGTGTTATTTTTTTTCGTGTAATATGGATATATAACCAATAATTATTATGTATTACCAATAATCATCACAAGATAATGTGACGTGTGCAAATAATAGTTGTTTTATATGTACGTCATGATCTGAAGTTTAGTGTTGTTTGATTTTTTTGACGACGGCCCGTCGCTGAAATTTTGGTCATGTGATTAATTATTACGTGTATAGGCCATGGATCATGCAAATACGTATTTTTTTCATTTTAATCCTTTTCAGCTCATGTCAGAAAACCCTATAAACAGCTATTTTAAAAGAAAGGTATCTGAATGGAATATATTAGATTTCATGGATCATTGTACAATAGAACCGTTCGAGCTGAAAATAGACGGTTACATTAAGGATCTCGAGTTCATTGTCAAATACGAAGAATACTGCAAACGCGAAAGCGCGCAAATGTTGCTCAATAATTATCGGGAGGCGAGTATAGAATCTTTATCATTAAATATAGCCATGAGTTGATAGCGTAATGGTGACTTGCTAAGTTGCTCGTTACGGCACGCAGGTGACTTGCTAGGTTGCCTGACGTTTATGATCCTGTCAGGGCACAGGTGACTTGCTAGGTTGCCTGCTGTTCAAAGGTTGCTAGCCGATTTGGCAGGATGGAGGTAAAAAGATACATTAGTGAAGAACACTGTTAACTAACTGAGTCTTACTGTTCTAGGGTAGTCGAAAAGATTACTATCTAGCAAAAGCGTGGAATAGGGGACGAACTAATAAAAATATTCATTGACATCAACTGACGTTTCTGGATGGCGGAACTATAAATGGGAGCGTAAATGGAAATATAACCTGTGGAAATTTCACCGGATCTTCTAACAAACGAGGGAGGAAGAGGTATGGATTTGTGGTTTTGATTATTGAGTTAGTTAGAAAAACTATTTATTTTCCGTTTGATACTTCTAGGTCGAAGATATCAAGAAGAAAAGGCCTTTAAAGAGAAATCGTCAAGATACTGATGAGAGGTATACTACACCACCACCGCATTCAAATGTAACTGAATCTGTAGAAGTTATTGATGATTCGGAAAGCGACACCGAATCAATTGATATAGATCAGGGTGAAGAAGAAATTGGGAGTCTCACACAAGTATTTATTTATATACAATCTTTTAATGCTTTTATATAACTGATAATGATTATATTTAATTTCTAGGGTGAGGTGGACATCCGTAACAAATTACTCAAAATTCTTACCACACGTCAAGAAAAAGACAAAGAAGCCGGGAAAGATTTTATGGCATCAATATACCTAAACAATATTATAGATTTATCAGACGACGAAATATACAAGCGGATTAAAAAGTCGTTGAATAAGGATCAAGTTTCTTGGCTTGAAGGAGTCCTCCAGAAAAAATCTTGGAAACTCACTCCGGAATTTACAGAATATATCAATCAATTCACTGAAGAAGCCTGTACTCGAGCTAATATTCCAACAATTGTTCGCAAATCCTGTATTTCTGGGAGATTTGATTCTTCTTATCACGAAGCGCATGATATCGCTCAGCATATACTAACTCATTTGTAAGTATCCTTTACGTTAACAGTTAACATTAATCAAATTCTTTATTACTAATTTTTTCGAAATAGTTCTTTACGTCTAGAAGCACCAATGAGAGTTGAATATAGAGGTTACAATTTAGAAAGAACATTTGCCATAGATACGATTATATATATTTTAAATAGAATTTTTAGAATACATCAAGATCAGTTAGATGTTGCATGGTATGTATCTATTTAACAAAATTTTAATTATTAATTATTCTAATTGTTTTTTATTTAACTAGGATCGAACAAACTACTCCAAATACGAAGAATCATAAATTTGATAGTTTATACAAAGTAATTAGCACTACAGGAAATAATCAAATAATTATTATTGTTGAATTTTCCCGTGGGAGAAAAACACCTGTGTCCAAAAAAGATGGTGATTTGATTAAGCTTTGTCGGAACGCTATGAGAGCTTTAAACGCATTATTGAGAATTGTACCCAAAGAGCGTGCACGTTTATATTTAGTGCAATCGTTTAGTAAGTAATTATAATTGGAAATCATATTGTACAAGATTATTTTTTCACATATGTTTCTTTATAGATGGATTTGTTGAGATTAAGTATTTGGTCCGGTCACTACCAACAATATATATGCTACAACAATTTTTATGCGTCAAAATACCTGCTACCTTTGATGATTTTGAACAGTTTTCAAAGGACATGATGTGTTTAATGAATTGGCAGGTAGAGTATTTGAAAATATTTGATGATATCAATATCAAACAAATAATAACAATTGGTTTTTATACAGACAGATGTCTTGTCAACAGCCAGAGCAGTAAATAAAGCAATCACGAATGTTATAGAAAATAATAATATTCATATAACTTCAGTAGATGATACTCCGCAAAAGAAAAAAAGTAATAAAAATCAACCTCTACCTAAATCCCCATCACCCGATTCCTCACCTCCCAGTTTCTCTTCGTCGGGTCGCGATTTGATGCGTCATCTAGATTCACCAGTTCATGAGAAGATCGATTTAAATGATTTAGATAATACGCTATTTAAATCAAAAAATTCAAAAAATTGATATCAACTGATTTTACAATGTATCGTTCAAATATTTTTAATAATAAATATATTTGATATCTAATCATTAATCCATGTAATTCTATAAATAATGAAACGACTAAGTAATCGAAATCTTTATTTCGTAAATGATTTGTAAAATTTTCATTGGAATTTTTGACGACGGGCCGTCGCTGAAATCTTTGTTACTTTATACATTTTAAATAAATAATAAATATATAAAATCTATTACTAAAACATGCAATCCGAGGTTGATTCATTAAAACAACGAATTTCTGAGCTTGAAGCCGAAAAGGCTG